ATTTTTTAAGAATTCTGCATATACTAGTTTGGCTTACTTCAATCTCCCTGGCCATCGTCCTTGTACTTGTATTTGGATTTTCAATAACTGATTGAATAACTTCTAATTCGGTATTTTCATCTTCAGTTATCGGATTTATTAATTTTCGTTTAGTATAAACAACACTGCCAGTTTCACGAAACCTTGTTAAGACTCTGTCAAATACTTCTTTACGAGGATGACGTTTTAAGGGAAATCTCTCAGCATAGACTTTTGATGCTAACAAATTGTTTTGATCACATTCACCCAGTATTAAAATCATATTTACTCGGTCTTCAATTGAATAATCTGCCATTTCTATTTAATTGAAAGCAATACAGTTAATAGTTTGACAATTAGTTTGACAGCTAGGTACCTTTTGTTTTTTCATGGCATTCTTCATAATAACGAGCTATGTAATTAATGACATTTAATGTTCCAGGTAACATAATGCAAATAGATTTAAAGATACTAGATATTAATATAAAATTTTATAATAGTTTGATTATAATAATTGTTACAACATTCAAATACAGGGTTTTTGTTTAAGTTAGAGTAGAACTTTATGTAATCAAGTGATAAAAATTAATTAATTTCAAGAATACATAGTGCATTTTCAAAAAAACGAAAATAAATCGAAAATTCTCAAAGATAGGTATAGGGATTGTTTAATAAAGTAATATTATTTTTTTAATTAGAATTCAAAATTAAAGTAAAATACAGGGTGTCCCATTTAAGTTAAGAAAGTAATTATACAAAATATGGTACAGCATTGACACTTCAGATTGCGAACACTCTGTAGATTAGTTTCAAATGGTAATTATTCTGATGTAAAGCATGGACACTTGACAATTAACTGACAACAAAGCGTTAATTAAAATTCATGCGATATTGTGTAATTGATTAATTTCGCGAATAGTACATTTTCAGAAAAACCCAAATAAATCGAAACCGGTCAAAAATAGGTATAGCGAATGTTGAATAAAGTAACATTATTTTGTTCAGTAGAATTCAAAATTAAAGTGAAATATATGTTGTTCCATTTAAAAAAGTATAAGTTTATATCATTACGCCAAATTGGGACACCCTGTATATATCTTACAAATTTTAATTTGTAGCCGGTACTAACCTACGTATTCCTGCAAAAGAAATTTTTAATATCTTTAGCCGTTTCCCCGGTAGGCTCCGTCCCGTTGAGCGTGACTCACACTGTATATATATATATATATATATATATATATATATATATATATATATATATATATATATATATATATATTGTTATGATATGTAAAATCGAGAAAAATATTGGTTTGTTTAAAATATTCCAAAGTTCAAAAACATTAAAATAATTTAGATAAGTAGGATAATAACCAACAAACATTTCGAAGAAGGAAAGTCTTTAAATTTTTGGATTACCTGTATTAAACAAAATGTAAGCTATGCATAAATTATTTTCTTTGTTATACTACACTTGAGTGACCCGCATAATTTTAAGTGAAATCCAAAGACAATTGAACCGGGTTTTCCAAATACAATGCAGTGATTAAGGACAATAGAATAGATTTTATACAAAGATATGTTTTTGTTAGTTTTTAAGAATTGTAGAAAAATATTATTTGTAAATAAGTTTTAGGAAATTTTATAATTATAGGTAAAAATTTGTTTGTTATTTGTTTGTTTGTTATCGAAATGAAAAAATGGGAGAATTGTGACGAGCTTTGATTGGCGGAGATTAAAAAAGGTGGGATAGGTATGTAGGAATGAAAGTTTAGCTAGATTTTTGAGAGAGAAAAGATAATCAGTTGGTTTCCAAGGGTGCAAGGCGAACGGCCGTTGTTTCTAGGGTAGTTTCCCAGAGGTAGGAAGCAGTAGCAGTGAAAGTTTGTGAGTTTTCGTGTAGTTAGTGTATCTGACAGAAGCTGATCCAGTAAAAGATTGTAAGTCATATTTTTCTACTTATATTCCAAGAGTCACTGTTCAGGCCACCGAGAGATTCAGTTTATCGTAAAGAAAAGATATTCCAAGAGTCATTTTTCACTCAGGCCAACGAGAGATTCAGTTTATTGAGAGAAGAAGAAGCTAGCATAATTTGAACGATTCGTGCATTTGAAGGAGATCATTAAGGACGATAAACTTGCAATAATTTGTTGTAAGATTGCTGATTACCTAGGGAGAGCCTGAGAGTAGATAATATAGTCTACAAGGAACAAGGATTTGGACCACTCATCATCAGAGAGAGATATTTTTGTTTTCTGCAGTTTTTTTCTTTTATTGATAACACAATTTTTACACTTAATTTAGAAAGGATATAAATATTTTGATTAGGAGATTTAGAATAATATTTGGATTTTGAGATTTCAACTAATATTGTTTATACCATTAATTTTGAAGGTTCACGTACGTAGAACAAAATTTTAAGAATCATTATATGAGATATTATTTATTGAAAACATTTGAGTGTGAATTTTATTTCATTATTTTTTAATTCAATATATAATGTTAGATCCTATATGTTTTTTATTATTCCAGTATTCTTTGGACCTTACCTTTCACATGTAATAGCATAGATATTGAAGCACGAATTTAACCCTGAGATAAGAGAATTAAAAAGTGTGATAGAGTCATAATCATATCATTTAAATAATTTTAATTAATTAATTGCTTGGCGCACCAAGACTTTAAATATCACAATAACATATATATATATATATATATATATATATATATATATATAATATATATATATATCGCAAAAAGGAGTGAGTACGACCGTCTATCCAATATATAATAAGGATCACTCAGACGAGTGGTGGGTTCAAATATCGGTCTACTAGGTGGAGAAATAAAAGACAAAGTTGATACTACTTCATCTATTTTGAAGACGTTTCGCTATCGAATTCTGATAGCATCATCAGTTCATCTAAAAATTTTACATTATGAGAACCACACATTCATGAAGAAGATGTTACATAGTTACCTTAAAAAGACATGTAGTTGTCAATGGTATTAAAAAGTTAGTACAAAAACTCGGATAAATGAACAACATATGGTGATATTGTATAAACAATCAAATAACTAACAACATTTAGAGACTTAATAAATGTTAGCAAAGCAACAGAACACGTGGTCTAATCTACATATAATATTTTATATAATATTAACTAGTGAAAAAGAACTAAGAAAATCATCGATTCACTTCCAATCCGCTAAGTGGAAATCGAAACGCCAAAATACACTTTTTAAACTAAAATTGTAATTAATTTACAGCAAAAATAGAAAAATGTAATATGTAATCGGGTGGAAAACGAATATATGAAGTATATGTCAATATAATTACAAATTATAATTACAAATTAATTATAAATGTAGAAGATACGAGAGATGGTAGTAATGCTGAGGAAGTTAGTATTTTGAATTTATATTAGACTGACAGATTATTTAAAGACTCTTTTATACTCTTATACTTACTCTAGTACCTACAAACCGATAGTGAAAAATATATTTTTCACTATCGGTATAGTATTCTCATACTTCTGTATTAGTATTCTCATATTCTCAATTATATTTCATAATATAATTAGGCGAAAATTTATATGCCGGATTTATGCCAATTTTGACAGCACCCTGTATAATGAAAAAGGCAACTTTACACTGTAAACGATAATGTTGTACCTGGTTAATAAGTTCCTAAGCAATTTAAACATTTATTTATATATGTAATTTTCATATAAAAACCATTATAACTCAAAAATGGTTAGTATTAGGTATAGGGAAGTATTAACTAAGAATTTTCAGAATAACGTGAATATTTCTAAAATTAAAAAATAAACAGGGTGTCCCATTAAAAAAACGAAGTTATAAGCAACTTCCGGTATAACCGAAAGAAGCAAATAGATGAAAATATCTTCATTAAATAGGTTACTCTTCAAAACCAATTCATTCCAATTTTCATGATTCAGTTACCTTTAGTTCTCGAGATATTTCTAATTGATCGTTTATCTGATAATCAGACAAGAGGAGAAAGAGAAACAAGCTAGATGTTAACTATTCCATAGATTAGTGGAAACGTTTCATTTTGTATTTACAAAACAGTATCAGTCTATATCTGTAAGAGTAATGTTAATTTGTAAATGTTAGTTGTAATGAGTAACGTTTGTTTGTTTCCTATTTGCGTCGTTGCTCTCTAACAACTACGACCTGTCCGTTAGCTCTAAAGGCGACTGGCAATTAACATCACAGACGTGCCTTAAATTTTCAAATTTTAACGGTGTGCAGTTGGTGCCATTAATCAATTTAATATTTCTAAATCATATGCTCAAAATTTATTCTAAATATGTCTAAATCATATGCTCAAAATGTTCTATTGACAGAAAAATAGAATCTGTAGATGTTGAAAATCTTCGATAGCATTTTGCAACATCTCTGCCCTGATTTCATTAATTTCTTGCCTTATGCGGTACTGTAAATCATTAATATTGGTTGGTTTCTTCAAGTAGATTTTGGTTTTTAAAAAGCCCTACAAGGATAATCCAGTGGAGTCAGATCTCAAGAACGGAGTGGCCATTCAATTTCGCCACGTCTACCGATCCATCGACGCGATCCATCGAAGTTTGACCAAGAAATGTTCGTACCGCTGTTGCATAATGTGGTGGAACTCCATCTTGTCGAAACCATATGTTTTTATTCATTTCTGCAGGGTTATAAATAAATACCCCTAGGGTAAATACTCCTAGGGAATTGAAGATACATTTAAATATTGTCGTTATGAAAGTCTATTTTTATATATAAAAATTGACCTGTTTCAGGATTTTCCATTTGTATTCATAATATTGTATAAAATATATATGTATATACAATATATTTATTGAATTAATCTAAAGCAGCAAAACTCTGTTATACCATAATGTAGGTTCTTGATAATTTGACCACAAGAATTAAAGTGTTATTTATGCTGTACAAACTGTAAAATAAAAACTTACAACTATTCCTTCACTACTTTGTATACTTTCTATCATATCATTGATAATTTTTGGCAATGCAGGACTAAGATCTTCTTTCATATTAATAGCCAATGCAGAAAAAAGGGCATAAATACTTTTGTTTATGTCAGGATCTGAAGTTTCATTCAAAATTTTTAATCCTAATTGTAGACAATCTCCAGTAAGAGGTCTAAAGTTATCAGGACCTATAAATTGAGCTACTACTGCTAAGGATTCTAAAACAAATACATAAGTAATATACAATTAAATTGATATAAGGTTGAATGTTCGAATAAATGAACTTTGAAAGATTAAAGGCAGATATCGAGCACAATTTTATTAATCAAATCTTGTCCAAGTACTTGTCCAAGTCTTCTAAAGCATAGCAGCAGGCTATCCAACAAGCGCAGAATGTAATAAACATGAAATTAAACATAAATTGTACATAACACTACACTAAACAAGGATAAACAATTTAAAATTATTTAAAAATTAGTCGACGCTACATTCTTGTCGGCAACAGGAGAGAGAATGAATCATTGTGCACGATATCTGCCTTTAATTTTTCAAAGTTAATATATAATTAATAAAAAAAACTAACAACATGATCACGCTTATACAAGCTGGCGAATGCCTAATTATCAAAACAATCTTGTACTTTTGTACGAAATATTAAAAAACTTTCAGGAAATAATTTGTACCAACGATATAACTAGGCAAAAAATTATTTAGAAACTGTATGTCAACACATCACTAAAAATATAACTTAATGAAATTTAGTGAAGTGGAATAAATACCGAGAAAAAAATATTGTATATTGGCGTATACATCTTAATATAAGTCTGATGGTGTCATCATCTTGTGCTAGTTTATTTCAACATAACCAAAAAGTGTCTTGGTTACCTTGAAATATTACGAACTAAAATGTGGTAGTTTAAGTGTGCAGTTGTAGCGATATGCTATTTTTTCTTACCTATCGCATAACACTGAATTTGATGCATCTCCGAGTTAGGATCGATATTGATATATATCTTTAAAAATTCTATTACTCTGTCAAAATATGGTAGCAGTCCTTCTTTTACTGCACTAGCGATCGACCCTAAAGTACTTAATGCAACTCTTTTTAATTGAAGGGAGAAGCCTTCCGGATCTAATGCTTCAAAAATCCTTGTCATCAATGTTGGAAGATATGGCACTAACCTAAAAACCAAATATACATCAGATGAATGTAAATAATGTTCAGTAAAAGTTTTCTATAGATTAAATGAGCATAAAATCGAAATAAGGTAACAGTTAATAATCTCGCCCAACTCTGTCAGACACAAAACATAGCACACCAGATTTTTTAGGTAATATGCCCAGTCCATGATTATCAAAAAAGTGGAGAGCATATTGTTAAATGCTGTACTTCAACGTCAAAGTATATAATTTATTCGGTTCAAATTAATTAAGAGTGGACTAAGAATCGAACCTGTGTTAACTAGTTGTTAGTTGTGAATAGATGTGTCCTTAGTTTATTTCCGTCTCAGAAAACCAAGTTGAGACTTAATAAATCATAATACTTTTCCATTACTAATATTCTAATCGTGCACTTTGTACGAAAACAAGGCAAATAGATCTAACTCCTACAGAATTACGGCAAATGCAGAATTGAAGGATATTATTTTGTAACCACAGACGTGGCCGAAGGGCATAGAGGTGTAGACCAAAGCGGATTTGTTTTGATGTAAATGTGAGGTGGCATTCGAATTATTACAGAAATAGTTAGGTAATGACTTCGTTAATAATAATTGACGTATCCTCCCTCTCTAATAGGTGGGGAACATTAATAAAATAATTAAAATAGAGAAAATTACATTTTTTATAAGATACAGGAAGTCACTATGGAAGTTTTATTGTTAAAGTTCAGTCTAAGTTCAAAATCTATGGCATGAAATTTCGGTTTTAACTTTTGGAAACAAATGTGAGGCATTTGATATATGCCTAAAATCGCCGAACTTTCACATTAAAAACGTCACGGAAAATAGTTCCGCGAAGACGGCATTTGGTTTGTAGTTGAAGTAGTGTGGTTTATAAAAACGTGCTTGTTAATCGTAAAAAAGTTGTTTTAAATGTTTTAGATTGTTTGTAATGTGAAATATTGTGAAAGTTTAAATTCGATATTTTATGGGCATATCTCAAATGTTTCAAACTTGTTGCCAAAAATCAAAACCGAAATTTCATGCTATACTTTTTGAAGACTGCGCTATTTTACATATGCCATACATTTTACTATGAGAATCGTAAAAAATGACAAAAATTGCACACCGTTTATATATATATATTAACGGTGTTAATAGCATAAACCCAAACTGTAGCTTAGGTTGGTATCCAGAATCTATCAATTATAGCCCAAACTCTATCAGTTGGTATCCAGAATCTATCAATTATAAGACAGACACCAACCATTTAAGTAATATCTACTGTAGTATACTAAACAATATATGATATGATAGATCTTAATATCAGTATCTAACAACATCAGACCAATAACTGACTACGTACCATCAATTACATTTTATAGATCAATTTACCATGTTCCTGATTCTTCCTCAATATTCTACTTTTGCACCTTATTATATGGATAATACTGTCACAATATGTAATTGTTTACTAAAACTTATTCGCTGAAAATTGTACAATGGGAATTCACTCTATAAAATATTGCGGTTACCATAACCCCAAATAAATTAAAATCAAAAAAATGTCATTTATTTAAATTGGATATGTTATCAAAATTTAAATTTTTAATCTTAAGTTGTAAGTATTGAAATATCTATTTTGTTTACATATGAAGGGTACAGGGCCAAAAGGGGGCAAGTCGCAATTTTTCATAAATAGATCTAGTGGTGCCATCTTGTAGCAATTTTAACGTAGAAGTGGTCAGCGACTGGTTACACGTCCTAAAAGCGCTTAGTTCCCGTGAAATACTAATTCTAATTTACGCATACACCACCAATAGGGGGCAAGTCTTTATCAGGCAGGTCCTAAAAGGGTAAAGTCCATATAAACAGCTAATAGACGTTAATCTAATACGCGCAGTTTAGAGTTAGGTTCGTCGGTTTAGTTTGTTTTCATTGTTTTTTAAGTGATTTAAAAGTAAATAACAATGAATACAGAAAACAATAGTAGTGGAAATGAGACTAAAGTAGTGCCTAAACAGAATGAATAAAAAAAAGGAAAAAGCACGGCAGAATGAGAGATGTCATGAAAAAAATTAGACTGCAGAGTCACGATGTAGGTGCAACCTGTAATTGTCGTAAACAATGTTTTCAAAATGTGCCCGAAGAAGCAAGAAAAACTGTACTCAAAAATTTTAACACAATGACTTATATTAATGAGCAGAACTCATACTTATGTGGATTGATTACAGTACTGCCTATTCGCCGAAGAAGGCCTAGGAAAGATGAAAACGAAGCAAATTTGAGAAGTGCTGCATATTCTTACAGGGTACGTTTTAGCACTGATAATAGCTTAAAAGAAATAAATATTTGTAGACAAGCTTTTATGTCTATTCATGGAATAAAGAAAAAAAAAGAGATATTACAAAATTCACTAAAAATGACTGGAGTCGCCCCTAAAGATAAAAGGGGAGAAAATAAAAACCATCCTAGAAAATTGGAATCCAACGTTCTTGTAGCAATATACGAACATATAAAGTCATTTAAAGGCAGGAAAAGCCAATATAGTGTGAATGATAGTAAAAAATTATACTTATCTGAAGAGTTAAACATAAAAAAGATGTTCAAAATGTTTTGCGAGTTGAACCCCTCTATGAAAATATCTTACGAGTCTTATAGAACAGTCTTTAATACAAAATTTAACATAGCCTTTGGATATCCCAGAACTGATACATCTAGTTCCTGTGATGAGTTTCTTATAAAAATAAAATCTCTTCAGTCTGATATTTTAAACAGTAGTTTCGATCTTGCTGAAAATGAACGCTTGCAAAAGGAAATACGCCAGCTTACGATACAAAATTATGTACACAAAAGAAAGGCTGAGGTATTTTACAGTAGACAAAGAGCTGCGAAGAAAAAAACTCGAACATCTGTGACTCACGAAGCTATTTGTTTTGATTTTGGAAAAAATCTCAGTGTCCCAAACATAACAACAAACGATGTTTACTATAAGAGCCAGCTGAACGTCTATGCCTTTAATGTCCACATTCTATCTACAGCAAAAAGTGTGTTTTACATTTACCCGGAAACAATTGGCAAAAAGGGAAGCGACGATGTATGCTCAATGCTGAATGACTTTCTTTGGAATTTTCTCGATATACAAGTAAGATCGCTTGAAATATTCTGCGACTCGTGTGGGGGACAAAATCAAAATTTCATCATGTTTCGTTTTTTGCATTATATTGTCCACAATACACGTAGACTTGATTATGTTAAAGTTACTTTCCCTATTCGTGGCCATTCCTATATGGAACCGGATAAAAATATGGGCTTAATAAACTCCAAACAACGAGCTGAGATTCCTTTAGATTGGGTTGAAATTTTCAGAAGTGCTCGTGCAAAACCATCGCCCTTTGACGTTGTGGAAATAGATCAATCCTACTTTCGAGCATGGACGAATTTTTTTAATACGAAAACAGATTATTTGAAGAAATGTCCTTTCAGTTCCCGTCCAATTCGAGAATTAGAAATACATCAAGATCATCGTAGATTGATATATTACCGGGAGTCCTATAATGGAGCATGGGAGTCAGCAATAGTGAAGGAAAAAGATAGTAAGCGAAAGGGACCAGTGCTACTACAAAATGAATTTGAACTTCCTCCGTATTCTTATTCAGGTATAAAAAATTATTAATATCTTGGAATACTATTATTAAATAACATTATTTTTAGGTCTTTTACCAATCTCGGCTAAAAAATTTAAATGCCTACAAGATTTGAAACGATTCTGTGGTGACGAAGCAAAACAATTTTTTGATAACCTGCCTAAGAATTAGAATTATTTCATATTAATAACTTTTGTCTACTTGTCATTTTAACTTGTTTTTTTTTGGACTTGGCCCCTTTAGGCCAATAATGTTT